GGACGCTTAACCGACTGCGCCACCCAGGTGCCCCAAGATGATCCTTTTAAAATCATTTATATTAGATATGTGTATTAGAATTTGACTCTAAGTGGAATAAGTCAGAAAGACAGATGCCATTATGATTTCACTCATATATGAGTCTGAAGAAACAAACAAAAAACAACAAAAAGACAAACCAAAAAACAGACTCTTAACTATAGAGAACAAACTGATGATTACCAGAGGGGAGGCGGGAGTGTGGATGGGTAAAACAGATGAAGGGATTAAAAGAAAACTCACTGTGATAAACACCGAATAATGTATAGAATTTTTGAATCACTATATTGTACACCTGAAACTAATAGAACACTGTAGGTTAAATAGGAATTAAAATAAAAACAAGAAAGAATTTGCCTTGATAAATCTATACACGCAGTCAGAATGTGAATACATAAGAAAATAAAAACATACATAATTTAGGTGGAAATGACTATAAGGCTTAAATCTCTAAAGAGTAGGAGTAGGATTATTGGGAATTTGCACCATCTAAGACACCCTCTAATATTTAAATCTTTTGCAACAGATTACTTCTGCAAAAAAAAAAAGCTGAAAAGTTGATAATTCAGCCATTCATTTACATTAAACAAGTCAAAAACATCAAAAAACATACCTGCTTCAGCAGACTTTTTACACTGCCAGAGATAAGGTGTTGACAAATGAGCTTCTGAACTACTGGATGTGATGCCCTATCAAGCTGTGTTAAGAAACCCAAACAAAAGCCCTAGGGAAAAAAAAGAATAAACAAATATGCATAAAACTAATTACCCTTCTGCAGTAACAGGCCAACATATTTCGGGAACAAAATTCAACCTTCTTAGATGGTACTGGTTCCCAGAACTATTTTTTTTTTCCTTGAGGGAGGGAGGGAAGGAGGGGGAGAGAGGGAGAGAAGGGGAACGGAGAGAGGGAGAGAAGGGGAACGGAGAGAGGGAGAGAGTGGGGGGAAAGAGAAAGAGAGAGAGAGAGAGAGAGAGAGAGAATGAGAATGGAAGGGGCAGAGGAAAAGGGAGAGAGAATACTAAGCAGGCCTCACACCCAGTGCAGAGCCAAAATCAAGAGTTAAATGCTTAACTGACTGAGCCACTCAGGCATGCAATCCCCCCACCCCCTCTGCTGAACGACTTTTATTTATTTTTTTAATGTTTATTTTTGACAGAGAGAGGGGTTCTGAGCTGTCAGCACAGAGCCCGACATAGCGCTCAAACTCACAGACCGTGAGATCATGACCTGAGCTGAAGTCGGACACTCAACCGACTGAGCCACCCAGGCGCCCCATGCTGAACAACTTTTAAATGTGACAGGATGGTAGAAGAAGGTCAGGGTAGTGCTGGTATGAAATGTTCTGGGCTTATCTGACTAAATGGAAAACACAGGCAAACCCGGCAGACACATAATCACTCCCTCCCTTCTGACGGTGAGCCCATCTGCCAAGCTCCCATACAAAAAACACAGACTTTAGAAAGACCTCATAGAGTGAGCGCTGGATGTTGCTACACGGATTGGAGGCTGCAAATCGCAGGGCCCTGCAAAGAGTCCGAAGGCTGTAGTGAGGTCTATGGCCAGTTCCATCCACTAATTTTGTCCCAGAGTCCTTCCGTAGAGCTGTGTACAAGCTACAAAAAGGACAGAGTTCAGGTGACTTATTAATTGATTAGCATTCACTATTTTGCTGTTATTCCAATTTTTCTACATAAGGCCCAAAGCCATTTTCCCTGAATTAGATGGTTAAGCTTGCATACAACTTGCTAGAGCATTCATCAAAACCTCTCACATTCTCTTTTAAATCTATTTTTCACACGCTCACAGACTCTTTCAAAAAAAGAATCTATCAATTTCCTTTAGGATGAAAAGAGGAGAGGTGAGAAACATTGGATTCTTAACAAAAAGAGAGACAGGAGAGGCCGTTACCAAGAATATATAGAGTCCAAACATAATGTTTCAGAGTTAGCTCTAATACAATGGGGAAATAAAGTTCCTATGTAAGCGATAATAGTGATGGATAAGCACAGAGAAAACTCATGGTGTTCTGAAAGGTCATAGATGTGGCCATAATCAATAATGACAAAATTTAAAAAGCATGAATATAAGGTGACTGTTACTGTTATCATTGCCATAGGCTTTAGGGGTCCAGAAGATGACAAGATGGAAGAAGTTTCAGACTGAAACATGAAATGCAAGAAATTTAAAATTTCATGAAACTGATGATCAGCTACACAAGATCAAGAGTAACCAAATGTGTGTCACAGATGAAATCCAAGTGCTTGCCCAAATGGGATCTGGCTTGCCTCTTTGCAATTTAGCTATATATTCTTTTTTGTGCAGAAAGTGGCTACTTACTACTAGTACTATCAGCATTTTACAAGAGCCTCTGCTTTATCTAGCCTGTTTTATCTCCACTTTTGAATTTTAACCACAAATATTTATACTTCTGTCCAAAGTCTTGGCTAACAAAAAGTGTTCCAATTTTAGAATGTGGTATTGGTAAACCATTTCAAAGCATTTTCATAAATGCCTCCTTAACTAACCTATTTAAAATAGGGCTCTAAGCCTGTATGTTGTAATCCCCATTTTGTGGTGTTATTTTTATTCACTTAACACAACCTAAAATTACAGTATGTATCTCCTTATTTATTGGTTACCTTCACCTCTTGAATTAAAAGGTCTATGAGGAGAACCAGGATTCTGTCTCTTATTTATAGCTGTATCTCTAGTACCTGGGCAACTCGGTAATTATTTGTATAAAAAATAAGGAACAAACCACAAAATGCAAAGTAAAACATTAATATAATCCTATTTCAAAACTTTACACAGGGGGCACCTGGGTAGCTCAGATGTTTGAGCATCCAAGTTGATTTCAGCTCGGGTCGTGACCCCAACATCGTGGGATCAAGTCCCTCATTGGGCTATGCACTGAGGATGGAGCCAGCTTAAGATTCTCTCTCCCTCTGCTCCCCTCCCCTACTCGCCCTCTCTCCCTCCCTCCCTATAAATTAAAAACAAAATAAAAACAACTGACATAGTGTGTATTTCTATCTAGACAACAGACAAAATTAACTAAGTGACATGCCCAAGACGACAGAATTCGTTTCTGACACAGCCTGTATGAGAATCCAGTTATCTGATATAAAAGATTATGCCCTATCCACAAGGCATAAAAAACAAAAACAGAAAAACAAAAAAGACTCAAGAAAGCACCAAGCCACATGGCCAGTCTGTATGTTTTTCAGTTAAGCCTCAATTAATTCTAAACCTGAATCCCTTATTTTACCAACCTTTTCCCCCCTATATCCCACATAAGTCGTATGCAAACTGCAAAAATTAAGATTTCATCAAGACAGATCAAAAGAGAAGCCATTTACATCTTCCACGGATACAAACTCTTAGCTATGAATACAAAAGTAATTAGGAGAGCATTATCCAATTACTTAAATATTCTCCTACGTGGTGATTCTTAAGCTTTCAATGTAGCTTCATTAGGAAAATCCAAAGGAGATCATAAGGTCCCTACTTTAAAACAGAAACCTTAATGATAATCCTTCTCTAGCAAAAAAGAAATAATAAATATAGATGCATGAGGCATACATTGTTCAGGGGAAAAGTTTATCAAGAGAAACCAAAGTGAACCTACTTGATAATTCCTTGCACTGTGATCTTATTCACACTCAGTCCTTTCAGATAATCCACAATAAGAATCTGTAAATCTTCTTTACTTTCCAATTCTTCTACATAAAGTTCTGTGAACCTGGAAGACAATTATTATTACAGAATTAAAATTTTGAGGAATACAACTATTTTAACAATAAAAAAATAGAAAACACAAGAAGTTA